TTTTTTTTTTTTGCTGTAATGTTTCTCTTAAATACTGTAAGCTCAAATACAAAATTCAATCTGACAAATCAAATGGAAAATGCCTATATGAAATCTAATATACTACACAGCTTACCACCCAGTCACGCCGGGATACCATGGTCTGCATTACATGAATGTTGAAGAAAACTGGAATGATCAGCGGTGGTCCCACTATATAAATATATACATATATATATAAAAAAGACAACAACTGTTCCTATAAAGGTGCAACGTTACAAAGTTGTAGTTATTATTCTTTTTAAATGACTCTTAAAAAACATACCAAGAAAGAAGTACTTGTGTTGACGATTGTAAGGCATGTGTTTGATCTTCTTTATCCCGTACTGTAACACAGAGGTAAACAGCGGATGATGACGAGTTGGACCGTGTGAGTGCTTAAAAACATAAGAAATACTATCTTCGTGCTACTTGCTTCCACTGGTTGAGTTCGGCCAAGTACGAAGAGGTGCAACGTGTTGATATCCGGGTCTTTAATGAAGATGTTGGGTTTAGCGTGATGCCTGAAATGTCTGTGATTCCACCAGTTGGAAGAAGCTCCCTGAAAAAAGAAAAAAAAAACCTTTAAGTATCTGTGTTTCATTTCCATGGAGAGAGGATTCTAACTGAGAGAGGTTACCTTTAAATGACCAATGACAAACTTGTGGGCGAGGTGATTCCAGCTGGACTTTTTGAAGACAGACAGGTGACCAAAGTCATGCTGCAGCCATCCAGCCTGTGCCTGGAGAAGGAGCAGGAAAACAAATGTTTTGGGTGAAAGACTTCTCTTTAAATGGACCTGATTTCCAACACCATGTATTTGTATGCATGACTAACTGTTTGTCTTTTATCAGTCCCGCGTTTCTGCATCTCAGTTCATACTTTTCTCAAACAATTATTTATGCTCCCTTTAATATGAATGGTTAGCTTTTGTAAACAGAAGATTTGCACAGTCTGTGGGAGGGGCTTCTGTCCTGACAGCCAGAGCAGTGTCAGTGATGAACATATTAGGAATACCTTCCATCACTGGCATTGTAAAGGGGCAAGAACAGAAACTGAAACTGTGCATTGAGAGCAGTCTGAAGGCTGAGTTTTTGGCTCACTTTTACACATTCATTATTATTGATATCCATTATTTAAAACTTTGTCTCTGTTTAATGTAACCATGCACTTGGTGTATGCATATATTTCAAAACATAAGGAAAGCATAATAGGGCCCATTTAAAATTTATGTCTGAATCACCTGAGCGGTTGCGAGAAACACAGAGCACACAAGTGTTTGTATCCAGCCTGTGCCCCACATCCAGACGGTCAGCCATCCGAGGGCTTCTAGCAGCAGGATGTGACTGAGGTGGAGGAAGAAAAACAAAGGCTGAGCTCGAAACAGACCCCTTTTCTCCACCTGAGCTCGTAATGTTTCGAAATCCTGCACGATGGCTGCCTGGGTGCAGAGAAAAAGAAACAAAGAATTCTGTAAAACTGAAACTGTAATATATTGATGTGATACTTCCGAAATCGAGGATTTTGGATTTGAGCTATTTTAGGTTTTCATACAGTGAAACAAGACATTAAGGTGGCTGAAAAACCACCTAGAATCTCAGATGTTCCCAACACTCAGCACTTCATAACTAACATAAGAGATCAGTGAATTATCAAACGTACGTCTGTCTCTCATTTATTACACTAGATCACTCACATGTTGTCAATAAAAAAAGAAGGGACTTTGATTAAAGGCTCACATTTTTGTCTCGGTCCTGGCTCAGCTCAGTCGTTGCCAACTCTCCGATCAGCAGCGGCTTCAGAAACTTTTGCACAAACTTAGGATCAGGATGAAAAGCAGTGAATGCCTCCTAAAAAACAAACACAACAAAAATTGTAATTTATTAAAAAGTTAGGTAGCAGTGGAAATAATTATCAGATTGTAAAACAATAAATCATGCATTCACTTCACTTGTATTAAAGCTAAATTCTAACATGTAAAAATACCAAAAGTAAAATGATGTTCCCTGTAAGTTTCAGTTGCCTGTGAAACCGTGACATTACATTGTTTTTCATAATTCAGCTGCCTGAAAGCAGCGTTTCAGTGCTGTAGCTGGTTCTGCTACACCTACTCGTGTTCTTCCATCCATATTATCGAGCTTTCAGCTATTTTTATTCTGGAACAGTTATTTAGGTATACTAAAACCTCAGAGGGGGAATCTCTTTCTGTTAGAGCTGCAAGGAACTTAGAGACATGTTAGGAGTTGCGGGAAGCCCAGGTGTAGTTCACAGACTGGCATAAACTTTACTTTTTGAGAGGAATGGCAACACAAATCTTAAACAAATATAAATGAATTAACGCTTATGATGATAGTTTCATTAGATCTCTTTCAAAATAAAATCATATGAACATAAATGCACAGGCCTGTATATTTTCATAGTATTGTGAAGGAAACATGACGTACCGTGGCATCCTCTCCAGCATAGTAGCTGATGACTTGAAACCCTCCTGGATGCCTTTTGGCCCACTGAGTGATGTTGTAAACCTTTCGATCGATGACCAACCATTGATCATTCCTGCTGCAGTGGCTCTGCACCTCCTCCCAGGTGTAAACACCTTTAGCTTTCCCGCTGTCCGGCTCTCCCGGCACCGTCTGCTGGCTTCCACCTCCCATCCTCACCGCTGCCTCTGGTCTGAATGCACCTGAGCTCTAACAGGTCACAAAGTTTCACACCTGTTTTCACACAAAAAATGCACAAAATTTCCATGTAACTTTGTTACATACGGGCAACGTAAACCATTAAATTTAATGGAATCTGGGCAAAAAAATTGCTTGGTATGCGTTCAGTTAATACCAACTCTGTTCCTTAATCATTTGTTGTTTTAATAAATAAACCTTTGATTTTAGATGTTTCAGCTGCATCTTACTCACAATCATTGCTTCATGTTTACTGAAGGTGAAGAAACCTTTTTTCAATGTGAGTGTAAAAAATGTCTTTCAAATAGTTTGAAATGTGCAGAGAGAAAAACTCGTATCGCAGATTTTTCTATGCTGTTTGAGCTGGTTGTGGTCCAGATCTAAAACAAAGAGAAGTGCAACATCACCCACTACTATGGGGAAACTAGTGAAGCTAGGAAACCACCAAATGGAGCTAAAGCAGGTCGGTTTTCACCTACTAACTTTTCTTAAGGATTCTTTATCGACATTAAAGATCAATCTAACAGTCACACACCCACAAATACTTAAAAACTGGAAAAACATCGATGCACACAAGTGCGTTTTCCACACGAATGCGTGGACTGGGAGAAGTCTGATCGTCGTTAACGCGTAGAAACCAAGACAAAACCGACAAACCGCCATCGAAAAGCATTTAATGACTAAATAATAGCGGCAGATAGCGGGTGGTTAGCTATGCACGTCACAGCATGTAGATATTAAATATTTACTTACAGCATCCAGATTTTAACCAGCGTCCTTCCGGGGTTCAGGCACACTAATAAGAGATCGATTCTGAGGGTTCGGGTCCTTTTTATATAACAAGCATCCCCAAACCCATCCCATGCTTAC